TGCTGCTGCTGCGTCTTCTTCTTCTTCTTCTTCTTCTTCTTCTTCTTCTTCTTCTTTTTTTGAAATTTTGCTTTGGAATTCATTATTCTGGAAGCCAAAAAAGATCTTGGTCTATCTAATCCAACTTATCCATTTTACAGATAGGAATCTATAAATATATATAAGGCTAATATGCAAAGTGTCCCCTCGGGAGTTCAACTGGGAGACCAGGAGTTTGATCGCTCACTATGACATGTGCTGACCACCAGGGGGTGGCGTGGAACGAAGGAAGGCCCCGGCTGGCAGCTGGCAGCCAGAAGGAAGGCCCTGATCGCCGGCCAGACCTTGAGACCCTACCTGTGCATGAATTTCGTGCACCAGGCCTCTAGTAAATATATAAAAATCTTTCTTTTAGAACTTTTGTGATTCCATTTTTTACAATGAAACATGTCACCTAGAATTTACTTGTAAAGAATAAGGAAAAATTTCAACTTGATTTCCCCATAAATATCCAGCTGTTCCTGTATCAATTATTGAACCTCCTTTTCTGTTGATGTAGAAATGCACATTTATCATGTTACATTTCTAGGATCTTTCTGGAATCTGTTGTTTCATTGACCTGTTTATTTCTTCTGTAGTTCTAGATGCTTTTCATTATTGTAGCTTTTTAACTTTGGGAGAGCTAGGCCTTGAAGCAGCTTTTATTTTTTAGCATTGTCATGGCTAGCTTTGGCTGTGTATTTTTTGGAAACAAATTTTGTTATCATTTCTTGTGTCCTCTCCTCCCCATGACAAATTATTTGGCATTTTAATTGGCATTGCATGAAAGTGTACATTAATTTAAGGAGAAGTGACAACTTTGTTTTATGCTGACTCTCCCCGTTTCTTAAGCCTTGTTTTATGTCTCTCAGAGTTTTAAGGTTTTGATAATACAAGGTTGTGTACCTTTCTTGTTAAACCTGTTCCTAGATATTTTTTATGTATTATTGTTGTAGACGGATGGGTGAAGCATTCTGTAAATATCAGTTTGGCTAAGTTGTTTGATAGTGTTGTTCAAGTCTATGTCCTTACTGATTTTCTGTCCATTTCTATCAATCACTGAGAGAAGGGTCTGACCATCACTGTGAATTTGTCTATTTCTTGTTACATTCTGTTGGTTTATGCTTTGTGTATTTTGAAGCTCTGTTTTTAGGTACAAAAGTATTTAGAATTATATCCTCTTACTGAAGTGGATCCTGTGTCATGAATGGATCCTCTTTGTCCCTGGGAACATTCTTTGCTCTGGATGTATTTTTTTTTGATATTAATACTGCTATCCCAGTTTCCTTCCCCTGGCACCAGCACACCCTCGCATCCTAGCTCTGACTTTCTCTTGAGGTGATAGCTGCCGGCAGGATAGTTGGGTCTTGACTCCACTCTACCATCTCCCTGTGTCCGTCTGTTTGTTTTTGTGAGGAGCCGAGGTGGGCTTGTGAAGGCCCGTTCAGACCTCCTGTTTGTCCTCACAGTCTGGGTGGCCTGGCTGTGTGTCTCCCTCTAAGCGATGCTGTTTGTAGGCTGGGTTTTCTTCAGCTCAGTGAAGATCCTAGAAATGTAACATGATAAATGTGCATTTCTACATCAACAGAAAAGGAGGTTCAATAACTGATACAGGAACAGCTGGATATTTATGGGGAAATCGAGTCGAAATTTTTCCTTATTCTTTACAAGTAAATTCCAGGTGACTTAACTATTTCATTGTAAAAAATGGAATCACAAAAGTTCTAAAAAAAAGATCTTTATATATTTACTAGAGGCCCGGTGCACGAAATACGTGCATGGGGATGGGGCTGTGGGTGCAGCCTCTCCAGCAGTCAGGGCTCTGACTGACATCTGGCTTCATGATCCATCCGGAGGAGTCTTCCTCTACCTTCCTGGGCATTGGCCCAGTTCCCAGGGGGTGTGTCCTTGAGTTTCAGATGTTTTATTTCCTCTGTACATGCCTGAGCGCCTTGAGCTGAACCCCCAAGGATCAGTAGGGTTATCACCTCCCTCCAGAGCTACAGTTTCAACTCCCTTCAAGCAAATGAGGGACAGATTTATGTGTGAGAGTGACTTTTGGGCCCTGTGTGAAGAGGATTCTGGGCGGGGGGGGGGCCCTGTGTTTCTCCTCTAGGATCTCTCCTGATGGCTTGTCCATGCCCTTTCTTGGTGGATACTCAGCCAAGTTGTGTCTGGTAGGGAATGTGGCAGTTCCTTTTGTCTCCGGTGGGAACCGTGGTCAGGAGGGTGATGCCTGCTCTGCCTGCTAGTGGTCCACGTCTGCTTCTTCGCTCACCTGGCTCCCTGGGCGGTGCAAGGAGAAGCTGCAGGCACCTCACTGAGGCTGAAGGAGTCCAGAAACTTCCAGTTTATTCCTTCACTGTTTACTCTTTATCTGTTGGCATATTTTAGTCTTTTGACTGCTCATGTGTTTACATGTGGGGTGGAGAGGGTTAACTTAGGCCCCCATGTTCCACCTTAAACCACAGCTCGGTGCAGCTCTAATTATAGGCAATGACTCGCACTCTGCTTTTCCTGTAGAAACTTCACCTGGAGATGTTGACAGACCAGCCACGGACAACTAAATATCACCACGTGATCCTGCAGAACAGGGCGTCCCTCAAAGACAAAGTGATTCTGGATGTCGGCTGTGGGACCGGGATCATCAGCCTCTTCTGTGCACATTATGCGCAGCCCAGAGCAGTGAGTAGGAACGAGTCTCGGTGACATGTCCTTCGTGTACCAGGCATCGTGTCGACAAAATTGGCAGCATATCCTTGCAGGCTGAGCCGGTCAGAGGGCATTGGTTAATGAGCCACAAACAGCACAGAGTGTGATAGGACAGGTAGGAAATGTCCCGGTGAGCTGCATATGGTGTGTAGCTTTTTGAAATATTTATTTCCCTTGAATATAGAAACACATGCATCCCACATGTATAGGCCATTGTCCAAGTGTCGTCCCTACCCTGAGCAGTGACTACTCGGCAGGGACAGGACAGACCTCACTCTCTTTCTTTAAAGCACGCCTGGGCTGTGCAGAGTCGCAGCCCCTTGCACAGGCAGGTGTAAGTCCTAGTGTACAGGTGGGGCTGCAGTGCAGGGACCACCTGAGTTCAGATCCTGTTGCAACCAGGACATGGTGCTCAGGACCCTCCGTGGAGAACCTGGACTGAAATGATGTCAGAAGCCACTGGTATCCTGAAAGTCGGGCTGTCCTCAGATGAGAGCCGAGAACCTCCTGCGTCAGTTAGGGATTGCTGCTGCGTGAACAGGAGCTGGGTTCTGGCCTTGCCCAGGGGGCCTTGGGGCAGGCGGCCCTGTGTGGGTGCAGAGGCTTCTGTTCACCTGCGGCCCCAGGTCTGTTAGGCAGAAGGTGGGGTTAGAGTAGGTTGCAGCTCCCTCCCCAGGGCTCCACCTGTACAGGCACGCACTGGCCCTTCCGCCGTTGGCACAGTGCCTTCCTGCTGTCCCTGCCGTTTGCCCGATTCCCCGATGCAGGTTCTGACTCAGCCGAGGCGGTGACAGGCTGAGCAGTGCCAGCACGTGCACTGATGGTGCTTCCCCCCTGCAGGTGTACGCGGTGGAGGCCAGCGAGATGGCCCAGCACACGGGGCAGCTGGTCATGCAGAATGGCTTCGCCGACATCATCACCGTGTTCCAGCAGAAGGTGGAGGACGTGGTGCTGCCGGAGAAGGTGGACGTGCTGGTGTCCGAATGGATGGGGACCTGCCTGCTGGTAAGGGCGGGGCAGTGGCTGGTCTGGTCTCTGGAATCTTCTTCACAAATCATGATTAATTTTGACCTTTTCTCTAAGGTCAGATGTAATGGATTTTTTTATATGAACGTTGGCCTAGTGCAGCCGTGGGCAAACTACGGCCCGTGGGCCGGATCCGGCCCGTTTGAAATAAGTAAAAAAAAAAAAAAAAAAAAAGACTGTACCCTTTTATGTAATGATGTTTACTTTGAATTTATATGAGTTCACACAAACACTCCATCCATGCTTTTGTTCCGGCCCTCCGGTCCAGTTTAAGAACCCATTGTGGCCCTCCAGTCAAAAAGTTTGCCCACCCCTGGCCTAGTGTCTTATTTTTAACTGATTAAAAAAAATGCCTTTGTAAGAATCTGGTATTCTTTCCTTCATGAGTGATTTACATAAACTCTGTTCTCTTTGGGAACCTGGGAATATCCAGTGTTTAATGTACAAGGCTGATTTTTGATGCAAGCAGCGTCGTCGTCTCTTTTTCCAGCAGCCCCCTGTTTAGCGGCAGTGAGACCCGGCCTGAGTCTCCCAGGTGGGAGTGGACAGTTTTCTGGTTATATACCCCCGCCCCTGCACAGTGCGTTATGTGCTCACAGACCCTGAACTTGGAGACCAGTGAGAGGTGTGGGAGCTGGGCCTACATGTCTCCCTCTCCTTGGACCCTCTGCCCAGTCCTCTTCTGGCTCAGGATTTAAGACATTATAGTGAAACACCCCAATCTGAAATTTAGCATCTGTAAAAATCCAGAGAAATAACATCTGGGTGACCATGAGGGGAATGTGGCTGGTTTCCAGCGAGAGATCCGTTTAAATAAGTGTTGCTACTAGTTCTTATAGCTTGTAAAGACTGGGGGAAATGCCAGCCAATGCCATTGGGCCTTTAGCCCTGTTGAAATGATGTCTGAAGATAAAGTGTAAATAGACTCAACATCCATGATAAAATTTGGCTTATCAATAACATCTGTGGATTCCTAAGATTATACATGGGGGGCAAGGGACTCACTACACTGATAACCCATAAAGTGGACATTGGCCTCTGCCCCCCAAACACCAGTTAGTGTTTATTGAGTTCCTCCTGGCCATGGGGACATGGGGAGCCGGCCTGTGGTGGAGATGCGCCCACATGCCCAGTGCAGTTAGGGGATGCCTGGCTGCCAGCATCCAGCTCTGCTAATGGAGGTGGGACAGTGTGGGAGACATGAGGAGGAGGAGGGGAGAGAGAGAGGAGGATGAGGGGGAGAAGGAAGAGGAGTAGGGGGGAGGGGAGAGGAGGGATGGAGCAGCTTCTGGCAGGGGCAGTGGCCTGGATTCAGTGTCCCTGTGATCCAGTGGTGGGTCGGGGTGGAAGCTGGGTTTAGGTGCTCTGTGCATGTGTTAGGCTGCCAGCTGCGGTCCAGGACTTTTAAGGGGTGAAGTAGAGATCAGTCATCTATGGGATTCCTCAGTGGGACTGCAGTGCTGGTGAGGTCTTCAGGGTCTAGGAGTTGAGGGAGGGGTGCTGGGGGTGTCAGAGTCGGGGAGGGCAGTTGGGGTCCATGGGAGGTTGCAGGGGAAGGGGCCAGAGAAGGGGAAGACTAGGGGAGGTGTTCTGGGGGTGTTGGCAGGGGCCCACTGGCGGGGAGGGGGGGCGCAGGGCCTGGTGAGCTCCCTGTCCTCTGGAGCCACTGACAGGTTTGTAGTCTCTCAGACAGAGGAGGCCAGATTGGGTCCTGGGAGTTGCTGCTGGGGGGTGTCGGCAGAGGGAAGGGGTGGTTGGTGGGGCCCAGTAGGGGACTTGTGGGGTTGGCAGCTCCATTCTAGGTGCAGGTGCAGGTGTGGGTTTCAGGGAGGGAGTGTAGATTCCAGGTGGGGCCTCTGACTGGGTTGGGGGAAGGGAGTGTGGATTCCAGGTGGGGCCTCTGACTGGGTTCGGGGAAGGGAGTGTGGATTTCAGGTGGGGCCTCTGACTGGGTTGGGGGAAGGGAGTGTGGATTCCAGGGAGGCGGTGTGGATTTGGGGGGTAGGAGAGAGAGGGCATGGACCCTGACTGAGCGCAGGAGTGAGTACAAACTGGGTGGCACCAAACTCAGGACAGGACCCTGGAGAAGGTGGAGAGCCCTGGGAGGCCTGGCTGCTTTGTGGAGGTGCCTGGGGACATCCTATCAGGAAGGGTCCCTGTGGGGTCTTGGCCTGGCCCAGGGTTGGTGACGCTGATACAGAGAGGTTGTGAATTTGGGAGCTGTCACAGTTTCACCCACTTGTAATGTCCCCATGTCCTTAGGCAGAACCCGCTGTTCTCTGCAGCTGCCCCTCTCCTGCGCTTCTTGCCCTCCTGCCATCCTCTTCGGGTTCCTGGCCTGTTCTCAGAGCTCCTCAGACTTCTGGTCCCCAGCCTCTCCCGCCCATCTTCCTACTCTGTTGTGATTACAGTTATGAGACAGAGAGATCATGGGACAAAGAAAATTCAGAATCAAACCCCAATATAAATGCATTTAGTTTATAATAAGGGGGGTTTCAGTCACTGAGGCAAGGATGTGTAATTGTCTGAAGATGCTGCTGAAACAATGGATTATTTTGCAGAAAATGGTTAGGTCCTTCTTCCCACCGTAGGTTAAAATAAATCCCAGATGGGTTACAGAGTTAAGCATTTTTTAAGTGAACATAAAACAATTGTTGAGAATTTTATCTGATGTTAGGATGGGAAAGTCTTTCTAAAAGCAAAGCCCATAAAGAAACTATAGAATAAAGTGTTTGACCAAAGATGTGTCCTTTATAATAACCAACCTATAGATTATTAAAAGGTAAGTGAAACTGAAAAATTACAGCTTATAAGACAAAGGGCTAATATCCTGTTTCATAAAGAGTTCCACTAGGCCAGTGGTCGGCAAACTGCGGCTCAGCAAACCGTGGCTCGCGAGGCACATGCGGCTCTTTGGCCCCTTCAGTGTGGCTCTTCCACAAAATACCAATTTCTGCGCATGGGCCAGAAGTTTCAATAGCACTGTACGTGCGCGCCCGCACATGGTGTTTTGTGGAAGAGCCACACTGAAAGGGTTTGCCGACCATGGCACTAGGCAATAAGAAAAGCATAAGGTAAGTAACTCTAGTACTGGGTTGGGGGAAGGGAGTGTGGATTCCAGGTGGGGCCTCTGACTGGGTTCGGGGAAGGGAGTGTGGATTTCAGGTGGGGCCTCTGACTGGGTTGGGGGAAGGGAGTGTGGATTCCAGGGAGGCGGTGTGGATTTGGGGGGTAGGAGAGAGAGGGCATGGACCCTGACTGAGCGCAGGAGTGAGTACAAACTGGGTGGCACCAAACTCAGGACAGGACCCTGGAGAAGGTGGAGAGCCCTGGGAGGCCTGGCTGCTTTGTGGAGGTGCCTGGGGACATCCTATCAGGAAGGGTCCCTGTGGGGTCTTGGCCTGGCCCAGGGTTGGTGACGCTGATACAGAGAGGTTGTGAATTTGGGAGCTGTCACAGTTTCACCCACTTGTAATGTCCCCATGTCCTTAGGCAGAACCCGCTGTTCTCTGCAGCTGCCCCTCTCCTGCGCTTCTTGCCCTCCTGCCATCCTCTTCGGGTTCCTGGCCTGTTCTCAGAGCTCCTCAGACTTCTGGTCCCCAGCCTCTCCCGCCCATCTTCCTACTCTGTTGTGATTACAGTTATGAGACAGAGAGATCATGGGACAAAGAAAATTCAGAATCAAACCCCAATATAAATGCATTTAGTTTATAATAAGGGGGGTTTCAGTCACTGAGGCAAGGATGTGTAATTGTCTGAAGATGCTGCTGAAACAATGGATTATTTTGCAGAAAATGGTTAGGTCCTTCTTCCCACCGTAGGTTAAAATAAATCCCAGATGGGTTACAGAGTTAAGCATTTTTTAAGTGAACATAAAACAATTGTTGAGAATTTTATCTGATGTTAGGATGGGAAAGTCTTTCTAAAAGCAAAGCCCATAAAGAAACTATAGAATAAAGTGTTTGAATCA